TCTCATTCAGTTGGTCTCCATGTCATTTACTGCCTTTTCCTTACCTCTTTATTCTGTTCTTATCCCATTGTCTTAGCACTGGGTTCTTATTTTATCTACCTATCTTGCCTTTGTTACAGGAATCGTGTCCTTTTTGGCCTTTCCTCCAGGGTAGCTCCTTTCTAAATTGCTGCACAGTTGAGAATTATTTCTTTTCTTCTCAAGCTAAGATCCTCTCTATAACTCTTCTTATTTATTTATTTATTTATTTATTTATTTAAAGACGGGGTTTCACCATGTTGGTCGGGCTGGTCTTGAACTCCCAACCTCAGGTGATCCGCCCGCCTCGGCCTCCAAAGTGCTTGGATTACAGGCATGAGCCACCATGCCCAGCCAGCCACCACGCCCAGCCTCGATAACTCTTGTGAAAAAGTTCAAAGCCCTTAGCTCAGCACAGTTGGCCTTTTATTACCTATCTCTAAACCTTACCCTTTTTTTTTTTGAGATGGAGTTTCATTCCTGTTGCCCAGGCTGGAGTGCAATGGTACTATCTTGGCTCACTGCAACCTCTGCCTCCCAGGTTCAAGCGATTCTTCTACCTCAGCCTCCCAAGTAGCTGGGATTATAGGCATGTGCTACCACTCCCAGCTACTTTCTTTTGTATTTTTAGTAGGGATAGCGTTTCTCCATGTTGGTCGGGCTGGTCTTGAACTCACGACCTCAGGTGTTCCACCTGCCTAAGCCTCCCAAAGTGCTGGGATTACAGGTGTGAGCCAACATGCCCAGCCTTAAACCTTACTTCTTTCTGCTGCTTCACGTGCACATTCTACCTTAAATGTAACAGAATCCTTGTGCCATAGCTTTTAGGCATATCAGTTTTTTTTTCTTTTTTGAGACACAGTCTTGCTCTGCTGCCCAGGCTGGAGTACAGTGGCATGATCTCGGCTCAGTGTAGCCTCTGCCTCTGGGTTCAAATGATTCTCCTGCCTCAGCCTCCTGAGTAGCTGGGACTATAGGCACGCACCATCATGCCTAACTAATCAATGTTGAGTGTATAAATTGTGCTGGAGTGTAGGTGGTTCAGATGTTTCCACCTGCATATTGACCCCAGTTTGGGCTATGAGAGCTGAAGTTTTCTCTAGAGATTTGTTTTGTTTTGATTACTTCTGTCTTAATAGCTTTATCAGTGCAATTTTCTGATTTAGGTTTCTGTGCTGATCCCTCTTTTGGAGAATGGAGAGCTTTTGATTCCGGGCAGAGGTGACTATCTGAAAGTGGCATCTGGATTTCAGTTTTTTGCAACCAGGAGGTATGTACTAGTAACTTTTGGTTTTCACTCTGAAGCCGCTTACTCATAAGTTTGCATGCTGAGCTAATGAAGATCATTTATAAAATAAGAGATTTTTTTCCCACTTAATAAGAAACCAGTTAAAACACTTTGCCTTATTTCATGTTTTATAAAATAATCAGATGTGAGGTTATTGTTACATAGCCCTGGGTTTGAGTGTCAGGACTCAAACCCAGGGCTGTATAACAAGCTTAGTACCTAGGTATACCTTGTCTATCTGGTTATGATGGAGTTAATAATACCTTCTTTAAATGGTGGCTGTAACGAAGAAGTGAAATGACTTGTACTAAAGACCTGTCACAATAAATGCCCAGTTACTGGCTAGCCATGATGGTGATAATGATAGGTAGACTTCAGACAATTGAAAAATTGGATATAAACATGAACAGAGGCACAAAAACTGAGCATGCTTAGTATATATTCCTGTGTACATTTAAAAATTATATGAAGGCAATGGTTTATTTCTTACTGCTAGTCTATACCTGCACAGCTTCTTCAATGTCTTAAAAAGCCCCATGAGTGAAACTAACACCATTCTATAGTTAATGATTATATTAGTGTTTACCTCAGTTAACATTCACTTCTAGATGGAACATGGAGCTAACCCAATAGTACTCAAGGAATACCTTCCTAGACCCAATTACTCTTTTTTTTTTTTTTTTTTTTTTGAAATGGGGTGTTGCTGTGTTGCCCAAGCTGATCTTGAACTTCTGTGCTCAAGCAATTTTTCTAGCCCAGCCTCCCAAGTAGCTGAGACTACAGGCACATGCCACTGTGCCTAGCTGACTCCGATACATTTTTTTTTTTTTTTTTTTGAGATGAAGTCTTGGTCTGTTGCCTAGGCTGGAGTGCAGTGGTGCGATCTTGGCTCACTGCAGCCTCTGCCTCCTGGGTTCAAGCAGTTCTCCTGTCACAGTCTCTCGAGTAGCTGGGATTACAGGCGCCTGCCACCATGCCTGGCTAATTTTTAATATTTTTAGTAGAGACAAGGTTTCATCATCTTGGCCAGGCTGGTCTTGATCTCCTGACCTCGTGATCTGCTGCTTTGGCCTCCCAGAGTGCTGGGATTACAGGCATGAGCCACGGCACCCGGCTCAACCCTTCTACCTTTCTTTTAAACATAGATAGTGTTTTGCTTTGTCACCCAGGCTGGAGAGGAGTGGCTTAATCATAGCTTGTTATAACGATAAACTCCTGGGCTTATGTGATCTCCTGCCTCAACCTTTTGAGTACCTAGGACTACAGATGTACACCATCATGCCTGGCTAAAAATAATTTTTTTTTTTTTTTTTTTTTTTTTTGTTGGGGTGTGCCTTTCCCTGACGAGCCAGGC